ATCGCGGTCTTTGTGCGCCAACCACTCCTGCATCACCGCTGCGAACAAGCCGTCGTCTACCAAAAGTGCCATTGATGTAGAGGGCCCCGCTGGCGTCGCACGCAAGGCGGTTGCTGAAGCATTATGCCGCGCGCGCTACATTCGTTTAAACTGCGGCAGACCTCACATCATCAGTTCCCTATGACTCCCGTACAACTTCGGTTTCGTCCTGTTCGGGCATGCGCGGCTGAGCATGGGAACTAACCTCCTCGGGTTGAGCAAGTGAAACAACCTCCTCCGCCCCCGAAAGGTCATCTCGGTTTGAGAACCGTTGCGTTCGAAGTCGCCATGGCTATAGCCTGTGCCATTCAAGAAAACCCTTTGCCGATTCCCATGTTGGATTGAATAATCCCAGTTTGCCGATCCCCACGTTGGTCTCAACATTAACAATAGAAGGAAGCTTTTGTGCCACTAGCTTTGCACCGGCAATGAAAACGCTGTCTGCTGCGTTCGATGGCGGGCCCTTGATGGCGTCTGCTGAATATATATATATATATATATATATATATATATATGATATGACTTGCCCCCGTTTCGCGGCAATCAGCCGCCTAGGCGCGCGCTGCGGCGGCGGCGGTCGAATCGAGACACTTGGAACAATGTCTGGCAAAAACAACTTGTCTGCATGCTGACTCTCTTCGAACTGTGGAAAGACAGATCTTCCAGCTGTGGTTCCTGACTGCGCGCGCGAAGAACGCGCGCGCTGCGACCCCCATAAATTCGTTTCGTTGAGCTGTTTGCTGCGTTCAACGTGCGTCTGCTGCCGATTGCGCTGCCAGGCTTGATCGCACTGCGACTTCGTTCGGGCCGCGCTGCCGACGATTCTACTGCTCCCAGCTGCCGGGCAGACTACGATTCCACTGCCAATTTGAATGGGCGCATTGATGATCATATTGCGGACGGGGGCCATGCAAATTTTGATGCGACTCAGCTCTGCTGTCGCAAGGTCGCCAAGCAAGGACAGGAGAAGAAACGAGAGGCCGAAGGGGCGGCATCGAGACATGGCTGCGCGTGGTCGGCGGAGGACGCTGAAAGTCGCGGGCGCGGCCGGCACCTGCTGGCGGGCCGGCGCGCGCATGCTCGACCTGGCTGAGCTGTCGGCGCACCTGTGAGCTCAGACGCAGCTCGGGCCGACCCCACCCCCCACCCCCGAGCCCCCCCTCCACCCCCCCCCCTCCCCCCGCGCAAGCGCGCGGGGTGCCGGGCGCGGGGGGCGGAGGGCCCGGACTTCCGCCGACTCGGCTCCTGCTCGGGCACGGCGCGGCAAGACATGGGCTCCGCGGGGAGACCAGAAAAACCAAAGCACGAGGCACTCCATTCGCCCCGCGGGTAGAGGGAACAGGCTCAGCAGGAGCCGCCGCTAAAGAGGATCCCCTCAACATCTTCGCTCTCAGAATCAACGCCGAAATTCGGGAATGAAGCGCTGCCAAAAAAACCTGGGCCTCGGCCAATCAGAGCACTGGCTAGTAGGAGGAGGAGGTGGAGGAGGAGGGGGGGCAGGAGGAAGAGGGGGAGAGGAGAGAGGAGGAAGGAAGAGGAGGAGGAAGAAGGCACACGGGGAGGAGGAGGAGCAAGAGGAAAGGCAGGAGGAAAAGGCGGAGGAGGAGGGAGGGAGAAGGAGGAGGAGGAGGAGGAGGGAGAAGGAGGGAGGACATCTGATCCCCCCCCCCTCATCCCCCCTTACATCACTATTTATCCTCGTCGTTTCTTCCCCCCCTATTCCTCATCCTGCCCCTCCTCCTCCTGCCCCCCTCCCTCCATCGCCCCCCCCCCCATGCTCCTATCACCACCCCTCCTCATCCCCCCCTCCCCGCGCGGGGGGCGGGCGGGTGCCCCGGCGCCGATCCGGCAGGCGGCGGAGACGCGGGGTCTCTCTCTCTCTCTCTCTCTCTTTCTCTCTCTCTCTCTCTATTTTCCTGCGCCTCAGTATTTCCCTCTCCTGGTTTCTCTTTCTCGTGGTTCCGCCCCATCCATCCTTCTGACTCGTTATAGAATATGTTGATCTCTCTCTCTCTCTCCCTCTCTCTCTCTCTCTCTCTCTCGCGCCCCCTACCCCCACCCTGCTGGGGCAGCGGGGGGGGCGGCGGCGGGAAGGAGGCGCGACGAGAATGACGGCGGCGAACAATGCGAACGACGACGATTAATGGGAACGACGACGAATATAAGATGACGAACGCGCGAAGGGCGAGCACGGGCTGGAAGCAGTAAGCACGCGCTGAAGATTGCATTGGGCATGAGAGTGGGACCAATGAGGAGGGAGGACTAACCGATGGCATACGGACCCACGTTGGGCCACCGAGGGTGCCTACAGGAGCCATCCTTGGAGCTGCGCGGAGGCATCTTGGAATTGGCGGGCGCTCGCGTTCGGAAGGGCCTCTTGGAAGCATCTCGGGCCGTCTCGGCAGCGTCTTGGAAGGGCGTTTTGGCAGCATCATGGAAGGGCCCCTTGGAAGTCTATTGGCCGTCTTTTGGAAGTATAGATTGGAAGCATATTGGAAGGGCCTCTTGGAAGTTCCCCCCGCGCTCTTTAATGCGCCCCCCCTTCTCCCCGCCAGCCCCCAACGCCCCCCCCCTCTCCTGCGAGTCCGCTGGGGCCGCCAGCCAACTCAAAGCGACTGCGTGCCCTGAATGCTTCTGGCTGAGAGCTTACATCGCATATTTTCTGACGGCCTGAGCGGCGGCCGAAAACGAAGCGCTCCGAGCGATCCCACGATCGTCGCCGACGGTGCTGCCCAGAGCGACTACACCGAGCTCTAGCGCGCTCGTCTGCGGGACGGCGCCCGCGTCGCACTCGAAGACCTTGTTGGGCCACGCCAGGCGTCCCCTCAACTCTGCCTGCCCCTCTCGGCCTGGAACGTCGAGCAATTCAGCGCGACGACCGCGTCCTTGAGGTTGCCCGAGAAGTCGTGCCAGCTCTTCACCCAGACTGGCAAGTGGGGAAAGAGAGCAACCTCCTTCTCGTTGCTCGTATTCTTGTTGTCGGCCGTCATCCCGATGACGTAGCACAGGCACGCTGGCGGAAATAGACCACCTCACCTGGCTTGGTCGAAACCGCGAACGCGTTTGCTTTCATAAACTCAACGCCCGCGGCGGCGTTCGAGAACGCGCCGGAGCTCTCCAGCGCAATGCCCTTCTGCGAGGGCGCCTCCACGGAGATCCCGCGAACGAAGGCCCGCCGGCCACCGATCGGCCCGATGACGCACGCGAGCCCTGCCCACGGCACAGAAGCTGGTGCACTGATACGGTGGCCGTCGCGAACGCCCGCGATCCAAGGCCCCGAGCCATTCGTGTCGATCGCCTCCAAGGTGGCGCCGCACATGGAAGCCTCGCCCAGGACGAACTCCATGCCGCGCGCGCCGAGCGCCCCTGCCCACCTCTGGTTATCCGCCATGGTGTTCTCGAACCGCTAATGCTCGGCCTCGGTCGCGGCCTTGTCGCTGTCGAAGATGGCCTTCAGCGCCCTGCCGATCGCCCCCGCCCAGCGCACGACGCGCGAGGAGTCGGACTTCTCGGGGGCGGGGGCGCCAGAGAAGCGCGCGCCCTTCGGCGCGAAGATCTCCCCCCTCTCAACGTTCTCGCTCTGCTCGCCCTTGCCGGCCTGCGAGTCGCCCTCAGGAGCTGGCTCGGCGGCGCTGGCCTCGTTGATGACGTCGACCAGCTCACTCCCCAAGAATTTCCCGTGCTTCTCGGTAAAGCTGCCACTCAGGAGTTTGGTTGCGATTTGCGTGATCTGCCACCTCTTGTTCATGCAAACCTTGCGTTTGCGGTTGCTTACCTTTCCCTTCTTCACCTCCGACTCGCTGAGCTTCTTGCGCAGCACGATCGTCTTGCCCTCCAGCGTGTCCAGCTCGGCACGGCGAACGCACTTGCTCTTGTCGATCAAGACTGTGCCATCGGTCTTCAGCGAATCGATCGCCTGCTCGAGACCCCCATGGCCCTCTGGAAGCCCATCTGGACGCACCTCGCCTCCGAAGGCGACGCCGCGGGGCGCGCACCCAGCCGAGGAGGGGGGGGGAGGAGGAGGAGGAGGAGGAGGAGGAGGAGGAGGAGGAGGAGGGAGGAGGACGGGGGGGAGGAGGAGGAGGAGGGGGGGGGGAGGAAGGGGGGGGGGGGAGGAGGAGGGAGGGGGAGGGGGGGGAGGGGGGGCAAGCTAGGTGCGCTCGCGTCATATCTGACGTCCTACCCCCCCCCCCCCCCCTCCCATCCCTAACCATGGCGTTGATTTTCTCTATCCGCGGACGCGTGTCGTAGCGGACCTGTGGCTCCGCGCGCGCGTGCGTAGTGGGTGGTGGTGCGCGTGCGTGCGTGCGTGCGCGTGTGCGTGGTTGTGGTGGTGGTGGTGGTGGTGGTGGCGGTTGTGGTGGTGCTAGACGAATGATGATGTGAAAGGGCACGCAATCCTGTGTGAAAGCAGCATAGGGGTCTATGCGTTCCACGACCCCCTGGGAGTGATTGGATGCAATAGCGTGGGAGGTAAAAGGGTGGGTGAGGGGAATACTGCCGGATCGAAAGCAGAGCAGAGGAAAAACAGTGTTCTCTTCAAAGCGAGGGATCAACGCAGCAGGGCTGGGAATCCGTCCGTGGGGCGTTCAGGAGCTGTTCCCCGCGGCTGCCTGCGGCCCCGAGCGGCCCTGGACGAGGCCCCGAGGGGGCGCACGATGCCCAGAGGCGCCAGGGGCACTTCTGTCAGCGCTCGAACGCAAAGCCGCCACAAAAATAGATACACGGACATCCTCAGGTGGATTGCTCCTGGTCCTCCAGGGAGGATGGCGGTTTTTTTATCACTCACCACTGCAAGCCAGCGATTTTTACACCGCTGGCCTCCCTGAAGATACATGCGAGATCCGTCGGAGGGTGCCTGTGTGTATTTTATATATATATAGATAGATAGATAGATAGATAGATAGATAGATAGATAGATTCATTCATTCGTGGCGTGAAGGAGGCGGCCGCCGCGCGCAATGGACGCGGACACCCGGAACCACGATGTGTACTTCGCCACCCTCGCCGAGCAGGCCTTGCCGCCGCTCGCGCGCCCACGCCTGGTCTTCGCGCGGCCGGCGGCGGCTCGATTGCTTCGCAGCCGCGTCGCCGCGTTGCCTCCCGTTCCGACGGTCGCGGACAAGCTGCGACAGTCTTATTCCCAACCATCCTGTGGTGTTGGGTCCTCGTTTTGAAGAGGCAGCGCCCCGCGTTCTTCCTCCTCCTCCTCCTCCTCGCCCCTCCCCCCCATCCTCCCGTCCTTGCCTCTGCCCTCTGCACCCAGAACAACGCTTCGTGGCCCCATAAGGAGCTCCACCGAAGGCCCCAGTGTCTGTGACAACATGCGTTCCACGCCACCCAGGACAGCGTTTCGTGGCCCCGTAAGGAGCTCCTCCGAAGGCCCCAATGGCCATTTTGGTTCAAGTGATCGCGTGCCTTGCCTGGGTCGGTCGTCCGCAATGTTTGCTCGCGGCGAGACTGGAGGGGTTCTGGCTGTGGCCGATGGCGCTGTGCTCGTCGTAGCTGCCGTCCGTGCTGCGGTCAACTCTGCACTGCGGGCGCGGTGACGCGGTCGGCCATCTCCGCCGTGGCGTTCGCTGTGGGGTCGAGGGCGGCCGAGCCCACTGCCGCTGGTGGTGCCGCGTGGGTTGGCGACAGAAACGCAGAGCGGAGCCGTCGGCGACGCGCTGCGCTGAAGGTGGCGCGGCAGGAGGGCGGGCGCGGCGCGGCCGCCGCGGAACTCCTTGCTGGACGCGAAGCTGGACATGCGAGTAGTGCTGAGCTGGCGCGGGCGGAGCCTGCGGCGGTGAGTCGGGGTGCCTCCATGCGCGCCGCGGCGGCGGCGCTTACGGAACTCGCAGGGACACCATGGACGACCATACGGCCAGCCTCAACGGCGAGTGGGCCGACGCCCCGATGCCCTCTGCGTGGCGGCGGCGGCGGCGGCGCGGGGCCTTTCGTGGCGCGGCTTCGGCGGTGGCGGAGCAGGGCGCGGCGACCGCGGGTGCGGCGCCTGCGGCTGGCGGAGTTGCAGTTGCTGGGGCGTTCCCCAGTCGCGAGTTGCTTGGAGCTCCAGTCGGCGGCGAGGCGGGGATCGCCGAAGCGGGCGGCCTAGGCCCTCGGCCCCGCGGCCGCAGCGGCTTCGAAGGGCGGCGTCGGCGCTCGCCGACGGCCTCCTGCGCCAGGCGCCGGGGTGCATTGGGGAGCAGAGCAGGTGGCGGCGGGACCCGCGCCTGACGCGCTGGGCGGCCGCGCTGGCCTTGTGGTAGTCCTCGGCTTCGCATTCGACGTCTTGGGCGGCTTGGGCGGATCGGGCGGACGACGTTCTCAGCGAGCACCGCGCAGACCATGAACAACAAGACCCCGGCGACTGTGATCACGTGCGCCCCGCGCCACCCGCAACGGCGTTTCGTGGCCCCAGTAGGGGGCTCCAGCGATGGCCCCAGCGGCTGTGGCCGCGTGCGTTCTGCGCCACCCAATACGGCACCTCGTTGCCCCGCAGGGAGCTCCACCGAAGGCCCCAACGACTGTGACCATATGCGCCCTGCGTCACCCAGTACGAAATTTCGTGGCCCCGTAGGAAGCTCCACCGAGGGCCCCAGTGGCTGTGACCACATGTGTCGCCACCCTGCACGCCGTTTCGTGGCCCCGAAGGGAGCTCCACCGAAGGCGGCATCGGCTGTGACCACATGCGTCCCGCGCCACCCAGCACGGCGCTCCGTGGCCCCATAGGGATGTCCACCAAGGGCCACGGTGGCTGTTACCACATGCGCCCCGCGCCACCCGCTACGGCGTTTCGTGGCCCCGCAGGGAGCTCCGCCGAGTGCGTCCCGCGCCATCCAGTACGGCGCTCCGTGGCCCCATAAGGGAGCTCCACCGAAACCGCCAGTGGCTGTGACCGACGCGTCCCGCGCCACCCTGTACGGCGTTTCGTTGCTTCATGTAGAGCTCCACTGAAGCCCCTTGTGGCTGCGACCACGTGCGCCCCGCGCGTCCCAGTGCTGCGTTTCGTGGCCCTACAGAAAGCTCCGCAGAAGACATCAGCGGTTGTGACCACGTGCGTCCCTCGCCACCCTAGGGAGCTCCACCGATGGCCTCAGTTGCTGTGACCACGTGCGCCCCGCGCCACCCAGTGCGGCGCTTACCAGCCCCATGTAGGCAGCTGCACCGAAGGCCCCTGTTGCTGTGACCACATGCGTCCCGCGCCACCTAGCGCGGCGCTTCGCGGCCCCATCGGCTAAGGACCTCCACCAAAAAAACAGTGGTTGTGACCACATGCGCCCTGCGCCCCCCAGTACGGTGTTTGGTGGTCCCATAGTGAGTTCCACCGAAGCGTCCCGCGCCACCTAGCGCGGCGCTTCGTGGCACATAGGGACCTCCACCGAAGGCACCAGTGGCTGAGACCGATGCGCCCCGCGCCACCCTGTACGGCGCTTAGTGACCCCATATTGAGTTCCACCGAATACCCCAGCGGTTTTGACCACTTGCGCCCGGCGCCACCCAATACTGCGCTCCGTGGTCCCATAAGGAACTCTGCCGAAGGCCCCAGTGGCTGTGACCACGGCGCTTCGTGGCCGCATAGGGAGCTCCACCCAGTGCCCCAGCGATTGTGACCACATGTGCCCCGCGACGCCCAGTACGCGGCTTCGTGGCTCCATAGGGAACTCCACCGAAGGCCCCAGTGGCTGTGACCACGGCGCTTCGTGGCCCCATAGGAAGTTCCGCCGATATATCGCGCGTTTGTGACCACCTGCGCCAGGCGCCTCACAGTATTGTGTTTCGTGGCCCCATAGGAAACCCCACCGAAGGCACCACTGGCTGTGATCACATGCGTCTCCCCCCGCCCATTTCGGCGCACCCATCACGCGTTTAGTGGCCCCACACGGAGCTCCACCGCAGGCCCCAGTGAAGACGTTCGCATGCGTCACCCCCGACCATTTCGGCATGCCCCTCGCGCGTTTTGCGGCCCTTACGGGAGCCCCACCGAAGGCCCCAGTGGCGACGTTCACATGGCGGCCCCGCTGCATTTCGGCACACCGCTCGCACGCTTCGTGGCCCCACCGCCGAAAACCCCAATGGCTGCCCCCGCATGCGTCCCCGCCGTATGTCGGCATACCCTTTACATGCTTCTTGGCCCCATAAGCAATTCCACCGAAGGCGATACCCACAACGGCGATACTCACAACTGCATGCGTTAGGGCCCTTCGCCCAGATAGTTACTTGTTTTGTTGAGGGGGCCGTGGGGGCGTGCTTCGGGCGCCAGGGCCGTCAAACACATTGTTGGCGGACGAGCGCGTCGTGACGTCGGGTTTCTGATTCTTTCCGCGTTCTGTAAAAAAGTCAATGCGGCGTTTTGTTTTTGAGCGGTATTGGATTATTGTAGTGGCCTCTGGCCAGTGCCGCCGATCCGGGGCGCTCCCAATGGTGGGGCCGTCTTGGGGCCCTCTTGGCGCCGCCGTAGGAGGCGAGGGGATTTTGAAGCTTCTTGGGCTTCTTGGGGGATTTTTGGAATGTTGTTTCCCAATCATCCTGTGGTGTTGGGTCCTCGTTTTGGAGAGACGGTGCCCCGCGTTCCTCTCCTCTCCTCTCCCCTCCTCCTCCCCTCCCTCCTCTCGTCACCATCATCATCATTATCATCATCATCATCATCATCATCAGCAGCAGCAGCAGCATCGTCGTCGTCATCATCATCATCATTGTCATCATCATCATCATCATCATCATCATCATCATCATCATCATCATCAGCATCATCATCATCATCAGCAGCATAATCATCATCATCGTCGTCGTCGTCGTCGTCGACTCGTCGTCATCATCATCATCATCGCTCGTTTCAGCACACCTCTCACGTTCTGTGGCCCCACAGGGAGCCCCACCGCAGGTCCCACTGCTACCGTCCGCATGCGTCCCGCACACCCAGTAGAAGCGTCCCAGTGCTACCGTCCGCATGCGTCCCGCACTCCCAGCACAGCGTTTCGTAGCCTCATAGGGAGCCCCACCGAAGGTCCCAGTGCTACCGTCCGCATGCGTCCCGCACACCCAGTACAGCGTTTCGTGGCCCCATAGGGAGCTCCACCGCAGCTCCCACTTGGACCGCCCGCATGCGTCCCGGAAGCCCAATGTGGCATTCGCACCCACCGAGTACAATGTTGCGTGGCCCCATTGGGAGCTCCACCGAAGCCCCCAGTTGGACCGCCCGCGTGCGCCCCGGAAGCCCAGTTTGGCATTTTCACTCACCCAGTACAGCGCTTCCTGGCCGCATCGGGAGCCCCACCGAAGCCCCCACATGGACTGTCCACGTGCGTCCCGGAAACCCAATTTGCCATTTTCACCCGCCCAGTGCAGCGCTTCGTGGCCCCATTGGGAGCTCCACCGAAGCCCCCAGTGGGACCGCCCGCATGCGTCCGAGAAACCAAGTTGGGTATTTTCACCAACCGAGTACAGCGTTTCGTGGCCCCATAGGGAGCTCCACCGACGGTCCCAGTGCTACCGCCCGCATGCGTTCCCCCCACCCAGTGCAGCGGTTCGTGGCCCCATAGGAAGCTTCACTGAAGAAGAGATTCACAATTGCGGTGTCCACAACTGCATATGGGTGGGTCCTTCGCCAGGATAATTGCTGTCCTAGGACGTTCCTGGCCCGTCGGACAGGTATTGGATGATTTGGAATTCTTGTTCGGGCCCGCCGGGGCCCGCAGCAAAGAAAGCTCGCTCCCGGGTGCCCACGCGCGCTCGAACCCCTCGCGACGGCGGGTGTGGCTAGTGCCAGAGCTCCACTGCGGGCACGAGCCAGGGCGTCCCGAGTCGAAGGCCAGGGAACCCAGACTCTCGACGCAGTGCTTATGCCTCTTGGAGGTATTTTGGAAACCGGCGTGGGACAACCTGGACCGCACTGCCATCTTTGAGAGTCTGGGTCCGTTCTGGAACCCCCATGGGCCAAACATCTCCGACGGATACGAACGGAAAGACGCATCTTTCAAAACCCTTGTGTGTTTCAATGTTTTGGCCGATCAAAGAGGGTGGGGTTCAATGA